CATACTCTGAATCCCACTCACTGCCTATGTATGGGAAGAGAAGAAGAGGGGAGGGCAGGGCAGGGGAGAGAAATCTTTCACATCTGGGGGTTGAGAGAACTCTCAGTGGTTCTCAGACTTTAAGTCAGAGCTGGTTCATAAGGCCCACCACACCACACCTCCAGAGTGGGTAATGGACGGAAAACACTGAGCGTGCTTTATTTAAAGGGCCCACCCTCAGACCTAAATACAGTTTGTCACACCAACCACCTCCCTGAGGTTAAAGGGGCCCACGTTCTCACATCAGTTTTTCCCAGTCAGGACCTAGAAGGTATGAAGTAAATGCTGGGTTAAAAAAAATGACTTTGGGTCTATAGTGAAAAGTAAAAATATAAGTTTGTTCCCAACTTAAACCTCTGATCTCTTCCCAGTTCCTGCTCCATTCTTCTGCCACCTATTCCTCCGTCTCCCTGGGCATGCCAGCAGCAGCCCTGACTCATGCTGTGCACTCACTGTGTTCCCGGGGAAGGCTCACCTGCTGCGAAAGAACTCCAAGGCTCTCCCTCCTACTATAAGTTCCCCTCTTCATCTACTACCTTTTCCCATCCACTTGGAATTAGAAAAACAAGCCCCCTCCCCTCTAAGTGACACTTCCTCTCACTGATGTTACACTGGATAAAATGTCCTTTATGTCCCTTCCAACTAAAAGTGCATTACTAGACCAACGGGTACTAAACAGTAAAGGACGATCAACTTGCTCTCAAAAATCCCTATACCACCACAGAAGTATCTGCCTGTCGCCCTCAGACAGGATGCTTATGTCCCACTACTCTGCCTCCTGTCCCTTGGCAGGTTGCTGGTTTGGAAACAGGAAAAATCAAGACACTTTTGTAGAACTTAGTTATATACTCATAGGTAAGGAAATAAAAGGAAGGAAAATAAAAGGAACAGGCTACGTCATCCACAACTATGCTAAAAATCTCTTAAATGCATACAGAGGTTCTAAGGTGTGGAAGTCATTTGTGGCCACAAACCCTCATGCTGCAGGTAGACACAGTGAAAAGAATCAGCCAATATTCATCTCTTTTTTCTCATCAGCTTCCTTAGTGGAACTGAAGATTTAAACTGCTCCAAAGAAAAAGTAATAGTAATAGTAAGTAATCCTCCTCTTAGGCTATGGCAACCAACCCTGGCACTGCCCCATTTCTTCAAAAACCATCCTATTTGCTCCCCCTAAAAAACTCTTGGTTTCACTTAAGTCAAAAGTGGGCACTATTCATCATTGCTAAACCTAAGATGAACATTAACAATGTGTTTGCATAAACAAAGGCTATGGTGGGCTGGGGATTTAGCTCAGCGGCAAAAGCGCCTGCCTAGCAAGCGCAAGGTTGTGAGTTCGGTTCCCGGTACCGGAGAAAAACCCAGAAAAAAAAAATAAAACAAAGGCTATGGTATAAAATGCAGTCAGAAAAAAGAACCACTGACATCACCTCTAACCCCTGCCTCACTCCAGAAATGCCACAGAAGTCGCTATTTCCTCACCTACAGTGGCTTTGATTCAAGCAGATGGGTTAAAAGTAAGATACATCTTAGCAACTGCAGTGTTTTCTGTTAATTTTATTTCAAAACTAAAGTATGTATATACAAGTATATAGCTTGCCTAACATGCTGAAGACCCTCGACTCACTTCACTGCTCATCACCACCACCAAAAAAGAAAAGTTTACACAGTCATTTTCCTATTTTTTCCTTTCCTTCCATTCCTTCAGACATAAACCATAACTGAATAACTGATGTAAAAGGTTTTCTGTGATGTGCCCTGGCACTTAAATCTGCCTAATTCCACTACCACGCACACTTGGGACTATCTTATTTCCAAACATGTTTTAACAATTTACTAACTTTCAAAACCAGGTATGGTGGCACATGCCTGTAATCCTAGGCTAAGGCAGGAGGATTGCTACCATTTCAAGGCCAGCCTAGGGTACAAAATGAGCGCAAGGCCAGCCTGAACTGCATACTGAGACCCTGTCTCAAAACAACAGCAGCAAAAATTTACTAACCTTGAGATTTGAATTTAGAATGCAGTTCCTGCCTGTATTTTAAAAAGGAAGTTTTATACTAGGAATAGTAAGTGTGATCAAGCCAGGGGCCAGGGAGACACAGCCAGAATGCAGTAAAATGTGCCAGAAAAACTCTACAAACTGCTTTCTAAAACATTGCATTTTGGGGTCTCAACGCTAACTTTGTTTTTAAGTATTGGGGATGGAACCCAGGTTCTTATGTATAGAAGGCAAACACTCCACCACTGTTACATCCCTAGCCCCCCCATATTCTTAAAAGAGGACAACTGATCAGTTACAAACACCTCAGAAAATTAGAAAAAAATACAAAAACACATGAGGTAACTACACCTGTACAACAATCCAGCACTTTACACATTATTCTGCAGAAAAAGTCATGCTAAAGGCCTCAACTTCTTAAAAAAAATGTAGTCCAGTAATGTGTCTCAAGGGCAGATTACTCTCCTGCTTACTGAAGTCAAGAAAAATCTTCCTTCTAGAATGGTTCTGATTGGCAGGTACTTTCTGAGAGAAGACAGCTGAGTTAAGGGAGGCTTGTGGTCATTTTATGTCAACAGCTAAAATAAATTATTCCTTCTCACTCACTATTCTTTTTTCCTGCTTTTGCCGTTTGTTAATCCCTATGGTTATACTGTCTCCATTATCCCCCAAACCTGTGGCCCCTCCAAAGAAACACAGAGTTGGGTTTCTAATGCAACTTGACTGAATATGTCTAGTATGGTTTTTCTCAACAGAAATTGTCAACTTAAAATTATAAATGACTTGAGGCTGCTGGTATCTATTTCATTTGGCTATTAGTGTAGTCAGGATGTTTTTCCTATTTTGACTTTTAACTTGGCTGTTTAGGAAAAAGTATATGTTTACTCTATAAGACCAATAAGTAAAGAGAAAAAAAAGTATTACATACTTTAAAGGTAAGACATAAACTTTGTAGTAGAACATGCTTACCATAGTTAAAACACATAATAAGCCCACAAACAAATTTAGCAACAACTATTAGATATCGTGACCTTTGGCACTGGCATTTTCCAGCACCGTTTCAGGTAACACTGGTAAAGACGGCAGAAGTAATCTAAGCCCTTAATGCCCATGTCCCAAACTTCTGAAATAACTCCAGCAGAAGCAACAACTTCCCAGTTACTTTTAAGGAAGATAATCTTTTAAAAGGAATAGTGCACCTGCTGGCATGGTAGCACATGCCTATAATCCCAGTCCTTGGAAGGCTCAGGCAGGAGGACTGCTATGAGTTCAAGGCCAGCCTGGGCTACAAAGTGAGATCAAGGCCAGCTTGCATGTCATAGTGAAACCCTGTTTGAAGGGGAAAAAAAGAAAGGAAGGAAGGAAGCAAGCAAGCAAGGAAGGAAGGAAGGGAGGGAGGGAAGAAAGAGTGCACCAAAACGATCATTAGATGAGGAAGAGTTTCAACGGCAAGTCAGTCAATTATACCAGCAACTAACATACTGAGGGAAACCTTACAGGTAATGTGCTCACAGCTCAGAATGAAAAAGAAAGAGAAACACAACCTCTCCAATCTCATCCATCTTTAGGGAAGCACGTAAAAACTAGGTGTTGTTTTTTAACTGTAAACATCACATGTGTGTTTTCCCATTCAGCGTATGGACTTCCAACCAATGTGCCTGGTTCTACCATGTGATAGCGCAAAGAACAAAGAAAAGTATCAGACAATCCATGGTTTAAAGATACCCTTAAGAAAATGTAGGAAATCAGTAGCTTGTAGATCACCCAATTACAGTTTTTACCAAATTCCTTCACCTTCATCTTTGAAACAGTGTTACGGTTTGTGTCTGGACGTCCCCCCAAAGCTTTATGCACTTTTAGATGGGAGGCAGCTGAATCTAGAGTTTGTGAGTGATTCATAGTGCAATGCTGAGATTAAGAGTGCTGGGACTAAGGGTGAGTGCCTGCTGGATCAGTCCACTGATTGGATTAGCACCACCCTAATCCCAGCAGCCTGGATAAGATAAAAGGGGCATAAAGAGGCTTGTTTCCCCCTTTTTCATTTGGCTATTAGTGTAGCTTTTGCTGTTTTCCACCACCATGAACTGTTGTCCTCTGCCATGTGCCACCCTGCCTTGGAGCCAGCAGATTATGGACTGAAACCTGTATGAACTATGAGCTAAATGAACCTTTCTCCCTTTAACCTTGGGTGTCAAGTATTTTGTCTCAGCAATGAGAAAAGTAACTAAGACAAACAGGAATGTACAACCTAGCTGGCATCACAAAATGCCCTCACAACACAGGAATAGAAAAGGGAGACTAACACTAACTGAGGTAGATGGCAACCAATATTTTCAAGCCTGAAAAGAAAAAAGTCCTTCAACAAAATTATTTCTTGGCATCAGTTTAAACTATGGTAGGGCATAGTTTAGTGCAAAGGGGGAAAATTAAGTGGAATAAAAAGCCTGAATATTTTTAACTATTTAGAAATTTCCTGTCTCATTGTCATGAATTCCCCCCATTAAAATGTCTAGCTAATAAAATGTAGTAACACACAGGTAACTAAATCTTTAATAAAATCAAGATTTAGAATTAGGCCTTTTCTACTTCCTTTCTCAGCTGCTTGCCTTCTAATAGGACAAACTTGGCAGGGACACAGAAGGTAGCCAGACACTGCAATGAATAAGGAAGGTCTAAATGAACAAACCTTGGCATTCGTAAATGAAGCAGTCTTTTAAGAACCAAAGAGCCAAAACAGAGGCTACATAATGCTCCCTGAAGAAAGAAATCCAGCTTTTAAAAAACGAAATACAATTCTCGGGGATCATAAGGCAGTATTCTAAATTAGTACTTTCAAATCAAACTGAGAAACTCTGACTGCAATTCAAGAAGAAAAACACAATGGTGTACCCACTCCCCCATACACAGCTCTGCAGCAGCTTTAAAATGCATATTATAATCAATACATGCAGTTACTTACTTGCTTCCTTCTGTAATGAGCAAAATGAGAGAGTCCTAAGACACTGGCAAGAGCACCTCCTCCAACAAGAACAGTCCCTTTCACTGCCTTGTAAAATGCCATTTCTTAACCTACAAAGGAAACAAAAAAAGTTAATTGAGATTTTTATTATGTAACAATCCAAATAATAAAAAGACACTGTGTGGATTATGAAACTATGTTCAACTAGAAAAGGAAACAGAAAATAAGGAAGTTACTAGCTCACCTACTTGTATGGAGAATTCAAAATCAATAACCAAAAAAACCTAGACAAGGGAATTGATTATGTAAAGTCACATTCAGATCCAACAGGAACTAAAGAAAGAAAAGCCAATTAAGAGACAACTAAAGGTATTTAAATAGTACAAGGTCAGGAGAACTGTGGAAAGAAATGTCACTGTGTATGTGACAAAACTGCATGCCGTTCTTGCCAATTTGTTCAACAGCTAATCCCCTCCACAAGGAGAACTGGTAGAAGTGTTGTGTCATTCAACATTAATGACAAACCTCAGGCCTGCTTCAGGTTCTTCAGCATGTGTTTAACTCAAATTGTGGCACAACTGCCTTCTGGAGTTTTCCCTTCTTAATGAAGTTCTAACTACAGCTAAAGCTAACACATATTTCTATCACTCAGAGTCTGACGCTTTACAGACAGAAAAACTAAGCTAGGAAGTCAGCAGATACCATGCCTTGATCTTTCACAAACTGATTAACTTAACCACTATAATTCTCTTCATTAGGGGAACTTTGAAAGTTTTCTTCTAGCCAGTTTCGTGACAGAGTTTCAAGAGACTACTCGCCTGATCAAGTCCTCTTTCACTGCGCACTGAGTATTTCTAAAGTTCTATGTCATGTTATCTCCTTTCTTCTCCCTTGTTTTCCACTACTGGACTGATTAAATTTTTTAAACTTTCTTTTGAGTACTTAAAATTACTTGCTAACTTTTTTAGAAATTAAAAAAAGTCCACAGAAACAAAAATTCCACCAAAAATATTCTTGCCTACTGTTATTCTATTAAACATTGAAAGGTGAAACTGTGACCACATTAAAAAAAATTCTGACCTGGACTGAGTAATCTGACATACCTAAGATTTTCTTCCACTTCCCTGAAGTAACTGGCACACCCACCTCCTATAGGTAAGCCACTAACTACACTATTTCCTGTATGGATGGAGATCAGACCTGTCTGAACAATATACCTTATACTCCACTCTTAACTCAAGAACTTACATTATAATTCTATGCAGGCAGTTTTCATGTAGGATACTAAAAATATATAGTATATCAATGTAAATTATGACACAGTTATATATCTGGTTCTATACTGGATGGATAATATTATCATACTATCCTAAATTAAAAATTTTCAGTACAGTGGTAACTATGATTCCACAGAAAATTCATTTCAGAGTTTAGCAGGCATCCATTTGTCACAGCTCACCATCACCATTCAAGGATGCCTAAGACACCAGAGCAAACCACAGCACCTGGAGGTAGCACGCTATCGCAAAGATAACTGGGTTCTGCTGTCAACCAGGAACAGACACTAGAGTGCTAGTTATTACTTACCTAAACAATGTGTGGGCCTATCCTTAGACAGCAGCCTGATGGTCTGCTGGATGTGAACATTGTGCCTGACTAACTTTAGCTTAGCATCACTCCTTCTGTCTTGTAGATAATGTCACTGATGACCTCACAAAGGATACCACACATCAGCGTGGGCAACTGAGAGCTGTTACATATAATGAAACAGTCCAGGAAAATGTCTGTGGCAGAGGTGTTTGTTCATCCAGTTAAGTTTGGATCTAGTTTTTCCAAAAGTGTTTATTCCCTACTCACCTAACTGCACTGTTTTCATTTGATTTGTCTAAGACCAAAACTTGCAAACAGGGATATTTTCCTATATTTTTTCAATGAGCCACTAATACTAATGAAAAATTGCATTCACATATTACCAGAGTTAGTAATAATACTTACTATAATCAAATTTCCTTTTTCAATAATTTCATAAAATAACTCATGCTTACATGATCATTATTTCTATTGTGGTCAAAACTACTATCATGCGGGGCTGGGGATTTAGCTCAGCGGCACAGCGCCTGCCTGGCAAGCACAAGGTCATGAGTTCAGTTCCCGGTACCGGAAAAAAACAAAAACAAAAACTATTATCATGCAGCTAACTGTAATAAACAAATCACTTTTATGGGTAACTCAAAAACAAAAATAGAGAATCAGTCATATTTTCCTGGCTCTTTTAAGATCACCACTAATAATACTAATTATAATAATAATATATTATAAATGTTACAATGGCAATAGCTACAATTTTTGATTGTCTGCTAGGTAATAGGTACCATCCTTTCAATTCTTTACACACACCAGCTCATTTCACCCTCACATCTAACTTCACAGGACTAAGGGTGTAGCTTTAGTGGTTGAATGCTGGGTTAGCGTGCACAGAAGCTATATGCAGTCCTCAGTGCCATGCGTACACACACGCACATGCACACACATACACCGTCTAATTTCATAACAGAGACAGCTGTCACTCAGAAGAAGTTGGGAAATTTTCCCGAAGTCACTCCCTAGAAAGAGAAAACCATGACTGAATTTGAGCTCTTAACTACAGAGTGGCTCTACCCTGCTTTCAGTCTCAAAAGGTAACTTCACCCCAAAAGCTACTACATATTTTACTGTCACTCCCAAGAGAAGGCCCTAGCCCAGCATACAGCACACACCTGTAAACCCAACAATCTGAGAGGCTGAAGCAGGAGGCTTACAAGTTCAAGCCCTGCTTGGGCAATTTAGCAATTTAGCAAAACAAAGATTTTTTAAATAGGCTGGGGATGGAGCTCAGAGCAAAGGCAATAGGTTCAATCCCCAGTGACCCAAAAACAAACAAAAGAAGGCCCTATTCTCACCTATACAAAGTGTAGCATCTCTCAGCATTCAAGTTCTTAAGGCAAGGAGGAAGCATCTGACAATCCACTAGTTACCTTCTACTACTAAGTACTGTAAGAACATTAATTTTTTTTTTTACATTCTAAAAAGACAGACAAAGAACACCAGATAAATGTAAGCCACACATTGTGGACATGTATGTACATGTTTTTTCCTTGTAAGGAAAAAAGTATTCAGTGGTTTCAAGGCAGAAATGATTATTTCCTTTTATGTCTAAAAGCTGCAACTAAAAAGTCAGCCAAAAAAGAGACCAAAAATATTGACAAATCTCCACCTTTTGCAATTAAAAGGGTGAAACAACCACAGGGAGAAAATGATCCAAAAATAATCTCAGCTATCATTGCTCTATGTCCACGTCTTATAGCCTATTATTTCTATCACAAATACTTTGTCTCAGGGTATTCTTACAAGAAGAACTCCTGCTCAACTGATGAAACCTAAACAAAACAAAACGCACCTAAACACAACTGTGATTTATTAACTGCCTCAAGGAGTTCTATGCAAAGGATAAAATACCAAAGTTTGTCTTATACTTTTGTCTTATAACTATTAGTGCTATATTGAGTTACAAGCACGTTTTTAGAAAAGAAAGCAAGGTACAATATCATTGTAGTGGAGCAAGAAATTATTTCTGACTAAAAGGATTAAAAAATGCTTTAAAGATAGGATTTTGGAGAAGGATTTTGGAGAAAGAAAAATATTTAAAGAGTACTGAGTAGAGAAAGATCTGCATAAAGAACTATCGGACAGAAGGAAGGAGAGGCATAAAAAATAATTAAGATGTGTAATGTACATGTATCGACTCCCATGATGTATATAATCATTAAGTACTATGAACATGTATCAATAAAAAATTACAAATAAATAAAATGTTTAAAAAGCAGAGAGAGGAATATCATTGTAATATTCCAAAGGCACACAAATAGTTATCTAGTTTGGCTGGAGATGCTGTCCAGTTGGAAAGGAGGTTTTCAAAAGAAGACCAGGGCTAAAAAGATGAATACTGTGTATGTGAAGGAAAGTATTTCATTGATATTTTGTGGGCAATGGAGAGGTGAGGCTGTACTTTAACGAACCAAGATGTTTTATCCCATTGTTATTTATAAAGAGTTGTTTTATGGAAGTCAATTTTTGCTTTGATGCTTATGAGAAAAATACACCAAGTAGAAGACAATGAAACAGTCCCTGTGCGATAGGGCAAATGGAAAGCACAAATGCAGAAACAAATGCTCTGCAGAAATCTCTCGCGACAGCACTCAACTGGAGACCATGCCAGGACCTGACAAGTGAGTACAGGAGGAAGGAGAGACTGAACAGGACAAGGAATGTGAGCCCCAGTGGCTGGGTATTAGCCCCAATACTGTGACACCGAAACCCAGAAAAGGAAACAGGCTTAAAGGAGAAAAGGAGATCAGTACAGAAACAAGGATATTAGAGATCTTGACAGAACACCTACCTGGGAAGACAGCAAAGAATTGGCTATGTGGATTTAAAACTCAGAAAAGTAATCAGGGCTAAAGATGAGGCTTAAGAAACTTCTGCCTAGAACTGACAGACACAACTACTGCACAATAAAATGTGGATGTGTGCTGGCAATCAAAAGCTGGATTTGCCACTTCTCAGGATCTGCAGACCCACGTTTCTGGCTGATGTCTGCAACTTATTTGGTCCAACAGAATTACGAGCTGCCCTCTTAGGACTCTCAGTACAGACTAACCTCAACAGTGAGAACTGCTGAGATTCTTTTCATATACTTCGGCACCACGTGCTCCCCACTTCAGCCTACTCCCATTCACAGCCAAGGCCACCACCACCCCCAGCTAAATCACATAGGTGAATCCCTTAACTGCACACATTAGACCTTTAAAAGCAAGTAGCAATCAGCTCTTGGAAAGTACAGAGGTCCCCTCAGCAACTAACCACAGGCAAACTAACTCCAGAATAAGAACATATACTTGGCCGCAAGTTCTCTAGGGTACTCAAATTGCTCCCCACATTTCCTGTCACGTACTCTCTCCTAGCAGCCTTATTTATCAAGATGTAAATTTAGGGTAAGTAAAATTCTGTGCAAATGGATTTATCCTTGATCTGTCAAAAAAGCACCCAGTGCCTTCTTGTTTACAAAACTGTCCCATCCTTCTGGTCTCTTTTTTTTTTTTTTTTTTTTTTTTGAGACAGGGTCTCACTATGCAATACAGACTGGCTTCGAACTCACAGCAAACCTCCTGCCTCAGCCTCCTGAGTGCTCGGATTACAGGCATGCACCACCACGCCTAGCCTGCTCTCTTCATATAGAAACTGCAAGGACCTTTCTGATCTCTATGTTCTACATTCATTGAAGAAAAAAAAAAAAAAGGGAACTTCTCTGGATTTTTATTCTTTGCCAGCACAGGAGTAAGCATGTTTCTTAAAAGGGTGAACAGTGGAAGGAGGAACAGTTCAAAGGTGATTTCCAGAAGGGAAATCCCACCACCACTTTGCAGTCTTCGGCACACGGGTTCTCTAGCACAGTATCAAGGCGTCCCATGCTCTTCTCCTTACCTACACTGAAAACTGAAGACACTCCAAACATTTTCAACATAAAATCCCACGATGCAACTTAGGAGCAGCATGGGCTGCAAGGCCCCTTAGGCGCACATAACCAGCCCCAGAGGTAGCAAAAAGCTCCTTAACACTTTCGTTACGCAGCTACCCCCAGCTCACAGCTGAGCATGGAAAATCGCCCCCTCATCTATTTTGAGTCATGTCACATCACACTGTCACACCCATGAGAGGCATAACTCAGGGGCCAAGCAAGCCACACGGTCCACCCACACATACATCCAGTGACTTATAGCACACAAGCACATAAATCTCACAAAATAAAAGTTCAGAATCTACCAAAGAAGACCTACCCAATAACCCTATAATCATGGACCTTGACAGCAAGTCCACACAAAATGGAAAACAATGAAGTAAGCTCAAAAGCATCTTCCCACCCAGCAGCCCATTAAGTGCAAAGTTAAGATTTCTGAGTACTTAGAACTAGACATTTATCATTCCAGTTGCTCCGATACCAGAGACTTTGTAGAATTCCCCATAAAGAAGTACCTCATGTCAGGCATAATAGCACATAACTGTAATCCCAGAACTCTCCAGGCTGAGGTAGGAAGATCACTGCCAAGTTCAAGGCCACCTTGGGCTACACAGTGAGTTCAAGGCCATCCTGAACTACATAGTGTGACCCTGCCTCAAAAAGAAAGTGTCTCACAGTTCAGACACAGCATGTGCTGAAAAGTGCTTACACAGACAAGTAGCCACCAAAGCACACCACATGTTACCTTCTCTTTCCCAAAGTGCACTCCACAATAGAGACAAGGATCAGCTGTCTGCAATGCATTAGTAGCATATGAATCCTACAGAAACACAGAGCTTCCAGCATGATTTCTGAAAGCTGCCAGCATAACTAAATAGAACAGTCACTATCAGAAGCATGCCAGCATGTTCTCTGGAAACAGAGGCATCCTTGACCATAATCTGAAGTGAATAATCTTGTTTATTTGTTTCTTTAAATATTTTCAGGGCCAGGGATATAGTTCAGCAGCACAGTCCTGAGTTAGATTCCCCGTACCAAAAAATTAATACATACACACATACATACATACATACACAGATATTCTCAAAAAGGACTTAGGTCAGGACTACAGAGGAAGTGGACACATGGATTA